TCTCTCACATCTGACCCCTTCTCTCCACTCTTATAGCTACCATCTTGGTTCAGGGCCTTCATCACCTGTCCCCATGATGACTGGAAAGGCCTTCTAACTGGTCTCCCTGACTCTAGCCTCTCCCCCTCCAATCTATCCTACACTGATACAAAAGTCATTTTCCTTAAGTGCAGATCTAACCATGCCACTCCCCTACTAAGACAACTCCAATGGGGCTTCCTATTGCTTCTAGAAAAAAATGGGAAATTCCTGCTTAGCCTTGAAAACCCTGTATGACCGTGGCCCCAACAGAGCTTTCTAAGTCATTAGACATTACTCCTCCTCCCAGACTGGCCCACCCCTGGACCTTTGCATTGAGCATTCCAGATACCTAGAATGCACTACGTCCTTACCTCTGCTTCACAAAATCCTTTTCTTTCTTTAAAAACAGCTCACAAATACCTTCTGCAGGAAGCCCTTCTTGATCCCCACAGTCGCTAGTGCCCTCTCTCCCAAGCTATCTTGTATTTAAATTTACCTACTTTATAGCTATTTTATCTGTTCCCTTCATATTTATGCTATACCTTATACTTTCTGTCTCCCCAATTAGAATGCGAGCATCTCGCCAGTATAGATTATCTCGTTCTCCGTACTTCTAGCACAGTGCCTGGCACATAGTAAGCTCTTGGTGTGGATGCTCCTTCCGTCATTGATGCTCTTCAAGGTACAGTCTTCAAGGGTTGCTCAGGGGCACTGAGAAGTCTGGTGGATTCCCTACAGTCACACAGCCAATATCTAGCAGACGCAGTGCCTGAACCCAGGTCTTCCTGATTCAAGGACTGGCCCACTACACAAAATAACCTCTTGGCCTGGAGAACTATTCAGTGAAATATTAGCTCCCTCTCTTCAGTAACTGTTGCTAAAAAGGTCAACAGCCAGGTTACTTTTGGGGGGATCATGTAACATCTCCAGAGAGGTTTATGGACATAAGTCTGTTTCCGACTGCAACTAAATCCCTGCATCATACACAGCCTTCTGTGGCAGACTGACATCTCTGCAGTGGGTCAATGGCATCATCAGTCATCTTTTGGAACCTATGACTTACACAAATCAAAAGGAAAAACAAAGATTACACAGAGAAGGCACAGAGATTAAGCAGGTTCTAATTTACTTCATCTGAATCTAATAGTTTCCTATATTTATGCCTATATTTTACAACATAAGCCATTAACTGATTCTGAAAACCTGTCAAATCCTTAAGCTGGGATGTAAAAAGAAAAGAATGGCAGGTCCTGACTACTTCCTAAAAGCCAAGAGAGAAAAAGCTTTTTTAATCAACTCACAAAGATGTTTATACTCATTTCCAAGACTGACTTAAGCCACATGGGTCACAGATTTCATCCAATTTAAAGATCACTAACAATGCTTGCATCTTAGCATGCACCCTCATAGGATCAACAGACAAGTCTTTTTAATTTTTACTTCTTTGCCCATAAATACTAGTGTTTTGACACTAGTTGGAAGTGTCATCAAAACCTGAAAATCACTTTTTTAAAAACGATTTTGCATTTTCTTCTGTTTTGAATATCACTTATATCTCCCAAAGCATCTCTCTCCCTCTATGAACCATTCCTTACAATGAAGCATAAAACAGCTTGCTATTTTGATGTGATTTTCTAGAATAGAAACAGTAGCTGGACAGGAAGCCATCAGCCAAAAGAATATACTGTCAACCAAATTTAAAACACTGGCAGCCCTGGACAAATTAATGCCTGCAAGTCGGCCACAATAAAGTGCAATCTGCTATTTGGCAGTTAAATAAATCAGAAGAGCACTACGTCATTTCATCGGACTGGTATCTGTTTTGCAGAGCACGAACACACTCCAGGTAACCAGCTATTTAATATAGCTATCAATCTAATCCTCCACATTTAGTTTATATTTCATTATTTTTTAAAAAATAAAGACGTTGTGGTGATTGAGATCTACAAGAGTTTATTAAAAATCTGTGCTTCTAATTTAGGCCACAGAAGGAGAATGTGCATCCTCAACCAAGAGAAGTTTCTAACAAAGTGGAGTAAGCTAACAGACTCTAGAAGCTCTTTGTTACTGTAACCAAATTTTAACCAACATCCTACTAAGCTTGTCACACTTAACCACCCACATCAACTAATGCTGTTGGACAACCGACATTATTCTTTGCTTCTAGGAGACTAGAAAAAGGAGGCAGCAGGGTGAGAGAAAGAATAGCTTATTTGTTATAAAGCATCTGCTGTATTCTACTTATAAAAGGACAAATGAGGTTCATTTCTCTTGGTTTTGTCCCAAGAAATGTATCAGATGGTTTGGTCACTAATACTGTGCTCAATGCTCAAGATAAGTATTTAATTCATGAAAAATTTAAAACAAAAATGGTGACTGGGCTGCTATTCATGTTATAACAAACTATATCCACAATAAAACATTTTTACTTTTTCATGAAACTTTTCCATTGATCCATTTTTGCCTTTCTATCTCCAATCACTAACACAGTACTTGGCACATATTAAATACCTGTTGAAATAAGTCCTTGATGATGGTATTACCACCTAAAATATTGAAAGGGACAAACTCTTACAATGCTAAATTAGACACAATGCCCAAAATCAGGCAGCAGAGCCTCCCTTGCCCCACCCAGACAACCTATTTAAATAACTCCTTGAAGACATTGCTGCGCTTAACACCGAGCAAATAGATGGGCAAGTAATTGCTTTTCAGTTCAGCAGATGCTGTAGAACTGCTGCTCTGGTAAATATGGACTTTCCCCCCTGGTTATTAAAATCAAAAATTCCATTCTGTATTCTCCACTTTTCAGCAAAGTGACAGGACAGCCTTTAAATCAACCAAATTTTACAAGTAACATTCTGGGTATCAAGTTAAAGGGGGTTTTTGTGACATAAACCTTAGATTCTATTACAACCATACAATAAATTTAATTAGGTAAGGAAAAACGTGTACTGTTTCATTAAGGAAAATGTGTTCCTCAAACCTTACTCCATCCCAATCATCACTCCTCCCCCAAACAAAGCCACAATGATTATGAACACCATTCTTCTCAAAGTATGATCTGACATTTCAGTTATGCCATTTTCAAAATGGCTACTTAGGAAACAGTCCCTGGTTTCCCTTAATTTACTCCTGAAAAAAAAGTGTATTTCTTACTGTGCATATTAACGTAAAATAGAAGAGATGGGAAAAGACAGTGTATTCTGGAATTAAGTGACCAGAATTAACTGGGTCTTTTCAATACTTTTTTTTTAAACTGGGAAAGTAAGTGACAGGATATGTCAATCAAGAAAGTATCTTATTTCAGCCTTATTTTTAATTATACTACAAGTAATACATAGCATATTATGTGTTTGGGAGGAAAATTTTTTAATTTTTTTAGCTTTCCAAACAATCACTAATTTAGAGCTGAAAAGAATCTTAGATATCATCTAATCCACTGAGGCTCAGAAGTGATAAAATAATCTGCCTATTACAAGGCCAAGGAGCAAACAGCTCAACTGGGACGTTAACCTTGCTTGTCCTCTGACTCCAGGGGCCAACGTTCTTTCCACCCTTCCCATCGGGTCAGTAGGGTTCTAGAAACAATGAGGGGAAGGGGAAGGGCTTGGTATTACTAATTTATTCCCCATATGGTAGGTGTCAACAAACGGTTCCTTAGGTTTCTAGCAGTCATTCATTTCTAATTGGCATTGTACACTGGATGTCAGTTATGTCTATATCCATCTAAGAAAGGCAAGCAGCGCCTGTATTACAATAATTTAGTCAACACTGAACACTAAACACATAGAGACTTTATTGAAAACTATGCCACAAAGACATACACACGTAACACTTAGTCTAAATGTTTAATGTGCACAGAGGGAATGAGCATGGCATGCTAAAAATAATTTTAAATCTAGAGAGGATCTGTAAACAATTTTCTTAGAACAATTTCATAAAACTGATGTATATTTACACAGTAACATAAGAGTATTTCCTCTATTGTGCATCTGATTCAATTATTTTTTTCACCCTCTATACCCACCTGATACCTCCCTCAGCAAAAAATTATGAAGATCTGACTAACTTTACCACTGATTCTAAACAGTCCAAGGCTACTTTTCTGAAAATGTGATTTGGCACGTTAGCCGAAGACAAACAACTGATTATTGGAAAATTAACATATGCCATTTTGTACTCAAGACCGACAGAAATTATCTACTGTGGGTTTTAAAATAAGAATTTCTATATTTGAAAAAATTTATCCAAAAGACTAGCAGCAAATATTTTGAAAAAAAATTCAAAGTGTCAAATTCAAAAATCTGATGCAAATGAATATAACTAACCATTATATTATTCCATCTGTTCAGAGAAAATAAAAAGTTCTGCATTCCTTTCCAAATAACTAAACAGAATGGGAACAGTAGTTTTAGAGCTTCTAAATCTTGGCGAGATTATGTGCTAAAAAATCCCCAAAGCAGCTACAGAGAATTTACTGTCTCCACAAAGTCACTATATCAAGAAATGAAAGTTAGAAAATAGAAAACCTAAGACAAAACTGATGATACTACAAATGAAATATTTAATTTGCTCAAAGATTTCCCCCTCAGCGATCTGAACTCTGGGTAGTTTGAAAAAAAAAATCAATGGCAATCATTGAAATATTGCTGTCTACACATGGGCACATCCAGAACAGGAATTACATTCATTTGATGGCTGCCACAATCAAAGAAAATTCACAATAAAGAACAGCCTGATGGGAAAAAATTTTTTTTAAAAATAAAAATTTAAAAAAAAACCAGCCTGCTGTTCAGATGACTGCTAAACTGAACAAAAAAAAAAAATCTGGCACCTAAAGGCAGAAGCCAAAATTGTTGGCAAAATATTTTCAGAAAAGGTCCCAATACAAGTGATACTGATATAAAACACAGGCCATACCAATTGTCTCTTACCGATTTCCAATCTTTAAAACAAAATAAAAGTCACTCTCCTACCTGCAAAGCGCAGAGGTGCATCTTTATCCAGGGCAATCAGAGGGGGATCCAAGAGGACTGTATTGTCGTTTTCTGTGACTATACCATGGTATGTCGTTTCAATCCACGGCTTGTGCTTGTTAACTGTTTAAAAAAAGAAAGGGGGGGGAAGGAAGAGTTATAAGGGCAGGAATGTTAGTTTATCCTCCGGAGAACGAGAAATCCATTTGCAGACAGCGCTGAATTGTCTTTGCTTCTTTGGTGTGTGAGGCGGCTTCTAATTTTATAAAACAAAGAAATTATTATTTTAAAATAGTGAAGACAAAAAATTCACAAGGGGACCCCAACAGAACCATTTCATAACTACTACATACCTAAAAAAAAGCCCAAAACAACCCGTACATGACAGAAGCTCACGGTGCATATTAAAATAGTGCACTGTTCAATTCCTAAAACGATTTAACCTCACCATTATTTAATATAAAATGCTTCCATTTATATGACTGAAAGGACACCATCTGCATTTTAACAACATTTACCTATGGGACCTGTCTATTTGCTGCAAAAAGCAGCACCCAAAGAATGACCAAATTCTGAACTAGGAAATTTAGAACCTGGTTATTTCCCAAGGTAAGGAAAAACAAGAAGCAAATACCTAGGCGACAGTGTTGGGCAATAGCTAGGGTATGAGATCTGAAGTCAGGAAGGCCTGGGTGCAACTCCCATGCCTGGCATACAGCTGCTAGTTGTGTGATCCTGAAAAAATCACGTAAGAAAACTGAGACTCTGAGGAAGCTCAGATGGTGCAGTGGATGGAGCACCCGCCCTGGAGTCAGGAGGACCCGACACATGACACTCACTAGATGTGTGACTCTGGGCAAGTCACTTAACCCTAACTGCCTCACTCAAAAAAACAAAACTCACAGAGGTTAGCTGTAAAACTGAGGACACTGGACTAGATCAGGGATTCTTAAATTCTGTCATGTCCTGGACTCTTGAACAGTCTGGTGAAACCTACTGACCCCTTCTCAGGATAACATCTTTAAATACATAAAATACATTAGCTTACAAAGGAAAACAATTATGTTGAAATACAGCGACCCAAATATTTTTAAAAACAAGTTCATGGGTCCCAGGATAAGAAGCCCCGGACCACACAAGTCTCTAACGCTCCTTTCTAGCTCTAAATCTATGGCCCTGTGAACTTTGAAAACTAAAATAAAAATCTAATCTTTGCAGAATAAGTATAAAAATATTTGTTTCTATCAATGGTGATAGTTGAACATCCACTGGGCATTCACTGCAGACAAAATAGAAGGAAGAAATAACTTAGTTATATCATGCAAAATTAAAGTTAAGACACTCCTGAATACAAAACAAGAAATGTGAAGTACATCAAAATAGGGAAAGGAACAGACACCGCTTTTCACTGGTCAAGGGAATGCCCAGGTGAGAAGATTCACACAACCAATATGAGAGCTGCCTAGAGCAGAGGCAAGTGTCAAACAGGTGGTCCCTATCAGAGCACAACCCAGGCAAATTAAATGCAACTAAGGAACAAGTATTTTTAACAAAATAAAACAAAAATATAGTGAAACACAGATAATCTGAATCTGTGCTTTTGTGACCACCAAGCAGGGGTCTTTATGATTCTATTTGGATTCAACACCACTGGGTCCTAAAGAACTGAAAGAAGAGTGAAGGGACTCACTTGTATGGGTCCCACGTGTGTGCCCAAAGCCAGGCTTGAGGCTAGATCTTTATCCATTCTGCAACACTCCCTTAAATCTTAGTATTTCCTAAGATCCCCAATTCCCAGGCTCTGTGGTTGGTATTTTTGCTGTAAAGACACTGCCCCAGACACAGGCCAGCCACATTCCTTATGATGAACTCTAGCCTTTGCTTTGTATTGGTCTTGTTTTCCCCTATACAACACCCCCATTTCCTTCCCTTCCCCCAAATGTTTCCCCACAATTCAGTTCAACAAAGCTTTACTAAGCACACTGTAGGAGTTAGAGTTGACACAGGAAAATCTTCACCTTTATAAAGCTTTTATTAATTTATAACTACTGCACATATTCAAATAACTGTAACACAAATTGAACATGATAAAGGCATAAACAAACTATCCTTTCCAAACAGAAGGATTGGGAGCTTCGTGGAGGAAATGACACTTGAATTTCAACAGTCCAAGTCCAGGTATGGGAAGCAGGGCAAAGGGGACACTGGGAGCTGAGGTGAGGGGGGAAAGTTCAGGGTCTATGTGGAAAATGAAATGCAGATTTTCTAGGAAATACAGAAAAGAATCACGTAAGAAAAGGCTGCAAACATATATACCACAGAAACAAGCTGTGGAGGGCTTTGAACGCCAGGCTACACAGCTTGGACTTGACTGTCTAGGCATCAGGGAACCATAAAGGGGTTTGTGCAAAGAAATGACACAAACAGATGAGTGTTAAACCTGGCAAGAGCATGAAGGATGGATGGGAGCACTAGAAGTCGGGACACCTGCTAAGAGAAAACGAGAGCCAGGCCGAGGCGGGGGAAGAGAAAGAAAGGATAAATGAAAGACAGACTGAGCCCTTAGAAAACTGATTGAGCAAGGGAGAAGGAGAGATGAAGCCCAGTGAATGGGGGTGCCCCTGAGAGAACAGACAATCAGAAAGCTTGGACTCTGGGGAAAACACCCAGGTTCAATCTGAACCTGAAGTGCTGAGCCACAGGTATGACCAAGATGCGACTGAAATGTGTAGAATGTCCACAATGAGGTGGCTGGAGGACTGCAGGGAGGCCAGCTCTCCATCTGACTGCACACTTCTTTGATGCTCACTGGCCCGCTGAGGTCTCCAAGTCACACCTTGGCTTCATACACCCCACAGCTCACCAAACAATTTTTGGCCCAGGACACTCAAAAATCTGGTTCAACAAACACTTATTAAACTCCTATTACGCCCAAGTACTGCGCTAGGCTCTAACAAAACACCAGGCCGACTCCAAGAGCTTACGGCCTACAAAAACAGTACAGGAGTACACAGAATCGCAGAATTTCAGAGCTGAAGGAACATCAGAGGCCCACCTGCATGATTAAGACGTCTTCTCCAATCTCCTGCTTCCCTTAAGCAACCCAGGCCTTTTGGCTACTGATAGATACAGATAATACATAGACATAAATACAGATCTCCTGTATACTAATTATGCATTCAACATGGTAATTAAGTGATGAGAAATCTGAATAGTTACTGAGCAAGTACTCAGGAATACCCTGAAACTAATGATCTACAAACACTCTTCTTAAAAAAGCTAACTCCAATAACGCCCCTAAAGATAGAGCCTTTATCACAAAAATGAAGGTTAAAACTACCTGGAGTTAAACCCATTAAATGACTAGGAAAGGTAGGGCCACAGAATCTTATGCCCTTAACAGAAGCAAGCTAAATGGAACTGGGATGACACCTTCCACAAACAGGGTTTTCTCTCACAAATTACGGTCTAAAGGCTGGTTCGCATCATTTCCATTCCTGACCACACCCAAGGCCTCCAGTAGGCAGATGGCTCTGTGAGCCCAGCAACGCAGTATCTACCTTCACCATGGCAAACCAAGGCATTTATGCCCTTTGGGCCTGAGGGACTTCTGTCAATGCTCTCCACTACCCATGCTGCACATCTCCAAACAAAAAATGTAGATACCAACGAGGCATGTAACCTTAAATAACCTTTGATCTAATGACATGACCAGCCCTCCTCCTTTTTTTGGCCATAGATGTCTAACAAATATCCTTTATAGCTCCTATCAACACCCTCTGGGTAACTCTCAACTATATGTCTTCCTTCATAGCAAAAAAAAAAATCCTTCAAGAACATAGCAATAAAAATATCATCACCAGTAAGCAAACACACTAAGGTGTTTCACTGGGGTCTTAATTTTGAGTCCAACCAAACTGCAGATCTGCAGCTCAACCCCCTTAAGATGTTTCCATCAAATAAGACTGTGAGCTCTGAAGTGCTGTTGTTCAGACATTTCAGTTGTATCCAACTCTGTGATCCCATTTGGGGTCTTCTTGGTAGATATTGGAGCAGTTTGCCATTTCCTTCTCCAGCTCATTTTACAGATGAGGAAACTGAGGCAAACACAGTAAGATGACTTGTCCAGGGTCACACAGCTAGTAAGTGTCTATGGCCAGGAGCTCAGGAAGAGAAGTCTTCCTAACTTCAGGCTCAGCGCTCTATCCGCAGTACTATCTAGCTGCCCCATAAGCACAGTTGCACCAAAATAAAGAAACTACCAGGTACTCTTTTCATGTAAAGAAAAAAAAATTAATGTCTTTATTTTCAAAATTTTTAACCATTTTCAAAAGGCAATTTTTGCCCAACCATGCTTCATTTACACAAGTGGGGAACAGAATAATAATAACTATAATTTGTAAAGTATTTTGAAAGCATTTTAAATACATTATCTAATCTGGGCCTCCCAACAACCTTGAAAGGTAAATGCTATTATTGTCCCTATTTTACACATAAGGAAATTAAGGCTAAATGACTTGCCCAAGGTCACACATCTACTAAGTGCTGTGACAAGAGAATTTTTCTGGCCTGGCTCCATTGCCACCATTTCCTTGAGAGATACAAGGGTACATGACTAGCCAGGGCATACAGAACTTAGTGGAGACATCCAAGTTTAGCCCAGGTTTAACTGGGTAGTGATAGGAGAATGTCTAGCTCAGCTTTACTATCTCTGTTTACTTAGGATGACCATGTTAAGTGACTAGGTATAGCTCCAACATTAAGGGTTAGTCTGCAAATTCCAGCTATAGCCTTAGTGTTTATTGACCAGTTCATCATTTTTCCTGATTTAAATCTTCCCCTTCGGATCCATTCTTTGATGTAGAAAGCTGGACCTTTCCCTTTTGTCCACTGTAAAATTCCATTTGGCCCTCCCAATGTAACTAAGCCCTACATAAAGATGCTGAGGCTTGGGGACACTGGTTTTTGTGCACCAAGGGGGCTACGCTCAGAATATAATAAACTGGTTATAAAGCATTTCTCTATGGTGATAAGTATGTATGACTGGCAGCAGCACCTATCAACAGATACGTGGATAATTTTTATGTCAGTGCCCAAGGCAGGATTCAAACTCAGGCCAAGAA